CTGCCGCCGGTCATTTGGTCCTTTATATATCCTACATCCCGCCCCTGACCCCGCCCCTTACCTCCCAAAACATCTTACCTGGTCGAGGCCGCCATCAGCCTAAGCCTATTCAGTCCTGACGGACTCAGGAGACGGAAAGATTAGAAAATTGAACGGGAAATTAATGACCCCATCACTTGAATAAATTACTCGCACACACTCACATCTGCATGGCAAGTAGTATAAGGTACACCAATAAACTAAAGGTATTTTCTATTAGAATTTTACATATCAATGATTCTTCTGCTTCCTTAATTGTTTACAAGTAATGAATCTCTCCGCCCAATTCCCATCCAAATGTATTTATGTTGGTCTGAAATGTAAATATACCTTCCCCCAGGTAATTAGAACGCGAGAAGACAAAACTAATACTTATGAAAATGTCGATTTTTCATCATTAATCGGTTTCCCAAGTGTATTTAGTACCTTCGAGTTCCTCATGCCCAAGGCAATCGTCTACTTCATATGCATGTCATTTCGAAAGTATCTACAGGCTTCGCAGTGCGATGTGAATGCCTGCTAAGTATTTATGTTAATTGCCAATATGCTTTTCACAAAGTCCATTGGTTTTAGACATCAGTTTTACCAAGGTCCGGTTGCCAGTTGATTGTACTGAAATTTACGTAAGGATCTGTTGGTTACTTATAGTGATTAGAGATAGGATTACAATCAAATGTTTAATTCAACTAAGAAAACGGTTTTCCTGCGGACTTATATAAGTACACTTAAAATTTTTCAAATACTTTGTCATTGAAATAAAGATGGTATTGAGTCCCAGGAATAGAAACAGCCAGGCAGTGAATGAGAGGACCAAAGATCTTGAAGGCTGCAGCTGAATTCTCAAACCTGCGATGCAACGGCTTCACCACCTCGTCACCCCTCGCCCTCGTCACCCCTCGCCCTCGTCACCCCTCGCCCTCTCCTCTCGCCTCCTGCCCCGCCAGAGCATCTTTCCATTCAGCATGCCACAGGCCTTCTCTTGTGACCTTGAGGGGATTTTACGGTTGGTAGTTACGGGCAATTAGGGGGGGGGGGGCAATTCCGTTTTCTATGTAACAAGACTTTCGTTTTTATAGTTATTTACTTTCTACAAATATATGTATAGAATATAATGACACTTTAAAAATCAGCATTTACGAGCGATGAAATTCTGGAGCTACGAACATTAAGGCGCAAGAAATTAAATATCGAAATGAAATGGATCAGCCACAACAAAAGGGGAAACGTCGCACCATGAGGCTTTCGCTCAGATTACAATCCTCATCGGCCGCTAAAACCTTAATGGATTCACCTGATTCGGTTTCGCCCCTTGAAGTTGAGGCAGCGTTTTATTACATTTATTGTACTGCATTCGTACTTATGTATTTTCAAACTAATTTCATTTATCAAAGAGAATTACATACGTTGTTACCAAGGTCTATATTTATGACGAAATGATGTATCCATGATGGTTGTCATTAGTCAGGAATCCCTATTGTTTTGAGTCTTATTTTCTTTTCAATTTCATTTTAGGTATTTCAGATTTTTTTTCTTTTCTTTTTCTTTTATGAATAAAGTAATAGAGTTCAAACTGATAGAGGTCGCGTTCATGAATGAAGTCGTACTCCCCGTTCATTTCAAATGTGGAGTTTGCAATAACTTCTTGCCGTTCTTAGCTAAAGATGTATATAAACCCAAATTGAAAAGTAATATTGTAAGCACCAGATCATCAAGGTCGTCATTCATTCGGTTATAGGTTCCCTCTCCTGGGCCAGACACATAAATGGAGGGGGCGGGGCCAAAGGGAGGAGGGGTATATATTGGAGCACTTACAAGGCGTAAACATTGTCTCTTCGTAGGACTTACTGATAACATGAAGGTTCTTGCTCTCGGTGAGTGTGCCGAATGCGATTTTCCGAACGCTTTTCTTCTAAAATTTTAAATCTCTCACATATTCTTTAGTTGCATCATAATAGTGTATTGCTATATCAGGACCAAACATGAAAGCTTCAAATCGTTTTCCTGTCATTATGTATAATGTTAAGTTATTTTTAGTAGCAGTATTCAATAGTTACAGTACCAAATACAGAAACAAACAAACAAACAAAAAATCGTAGACCGATTAACCAGGATGACTTTTGTCTGTAACATGTGCAGTTACTAAATACAATTATGCTTCATTCCAGTCGCTGTGTTGGTGGGCGTGGCCGCCGCCCTTCCCGGCCTCCGTCTGCGTCGCGACTCGTCTCCTCTGCGCTTCGAGCTGCCCTCCAACGCCTCGCTGGTTCTGGGTAGAATCAACACCGGATTCGACTGCGCCGAGCTCCCCTACGGATACTACGCCGACACCAGCAACGACTGCGCCCTGTTCCACGTGTGTCTGCCCTACATCGACAACGACCTCTACATCACCCGCCACTTCTCCTTCATGTGCGGCGAGGGCACCATGTTCGACCAGGAACGTCTCGTGTGCGCCTTCCCCGAGGAGGCCCTTCCCTGCTCCGAGGCCGCCGCCTTCAGGAGGTCCAACGAATACTTCGGCCGCGCCGACGTCAACTTCCTGGAGAAGTAGAGTCTCGGATGAGGACACAGGGTCGATCCTCGACGTTTCATTTCAAACACCACAAAGCATTATCATCGAACATCTTATCTAATTTTTACAAAATATAAAATCAGAAATGTATTAAATATCACCTACTTATCCAGTAATTTCTTTCCACACCAAAGTATAAACAGCAACACATTATACATAGTATTCTGTATACAGTTTAAATGTATGATGTAGTATTATACTTGTATAATACTACATATGATTTTCATATTTATAATACGAGTTATATTTTACTTTAATTGTAAATTCTATAATTTTTCGATAGAAGGGAATATGAAGATCATAATATATATATAGAATCAATAAATTCTTCAAACTAACACGCTGGCGCAGCGGTAAGGTGCTGGTCTAGCAATTTTGCGGACCTGCGTTCAATCCCACGCCCGGCCTGTGAGTGGTATCCCCGTCCATTCCTTGCATACAGACAGTATGTCACAGCCAAGAATATCCATTGTAACAAATGGAATTAAAACTAAATCTTAAATCTTAAATCACTGACATCAAAATGACAACTAATCCCACCAGATCATACCACAGGCATAAGAATTAGCCGGGAAAGATCTTTGATTTCACTGGTCTGGCATTGCAAGAATGGCCCTAGTTCGCCAATCATTCAAGGCGATAATCCACTGTCATTTTTAAGGTCAATTTGCTGTCCGTACGGTTAAACACCACGCTGCCTATCGTCGGGAAACACAGTGGGTTCTTGTGATTTTGCATTTAAGAAAAGGGATGCCGTCGCTATCATTCCTATATTCGCATTCACTGACCAGCCAAAAGACTTCAAAAAGAAAAAGAAGACAACGTTGAAGAAGAAAGGGGAGAAAGAAAAAATGAAGGAAGCTTTCGTATAAGCCTCCATATTTTAGGATGAAAAGCCTTTCAACATAAAAGGAAATAGTAGGCTAGCACTGGTAAAGTTGAAGTCCCTCTGGTGCCTCGAGTGGTTGGTATCTCTTCTTTTCCTAGCATACGGGGGTAGCTGACGGCCTTCACAACTTGTAGGTTGAGGCTATGCGTCATTCTGCCCACCTTGTTAAATTATACTAATACTCTGTAGTATAGACGCATTCATAATCTTAAACGGGGTATAGATATGCAACTCGGGGGTTGTCAACGCGGAGTACTGGCATTTTCTTTAAGTAAATATATATATATATATATATATATATATTATATATATATATATATATATATATATATATATATATATATATATATATCATATACATATATATATATATATATATATATATATATATATATATATATATATATATATATATATATATATATATATATATATATATATATATATATATATACATATATATACGCCCCGTCCATCCCTCAGGAGTCTTTTAGCTGCCCTTTCTCAGCCAGGCTGACCTTGGAATTCATGAGAATTCGAGCGTCACTTTTCTGTATATGTTTACGTCTCTAATCCAGATGGATGACGCCTGGAATAGCTGTTTCAAAAAAAATAAATCCATAGGAATCTTTTATAACAAAGTGACATACGTAAAATAGATATAGATATAGATATACATACATATATATATATATATATATATATATATATATATATATATATATATATATATAGATGTTTAAGTATGTATATATATATATATATATATATATATATATATATATATATATATATAGAGAGAGAGAGAGAGAGAGAGAGAGAGAGAGAGAGAGAGAGAGAGAGAGAGAGAGAGAGAGACAGACAGACAGACAGACAGACAGACAGACAGACAGACAGACAGACAGACAGACATAAACAGACAGAGACAGAGAAACAGAGAGATAATTCCTCAGTTTCACCTGAATTAAACTAAAGAAAGTAAGTATTTGGATATCCTCAGTCCAACTTTGTGCTTTCAGGCAATGTTACGCGATGAAATGAAATTACGTGATATACCATTAATCCAACGATATTCACACCAAGTATATAATCGAACCTAACATTATATGTAATATTTGTACTACAGTATACACAGGCTTTGAAAATAGCGTCATTAGAATGTCTGGTAGATGTACAGTGCGAAGTGTATTTACAGTGATATGTTCATAGCGGGTGTGCACATCTTTAGTTTTTGACTGGATAATCACATACCATTAACATTCACGTACAGATATGGATAAAAACATTCACAGACTTCAGTCCATTCAGAAAAAACTCAAAACCCAGCCAAAGTAGAAGCCTAGGAGAAAATGTTATCCCGGGTGATCCCCCCCCCCTCCCCTTCCCTTTCTCCCTCAATCCCATCACCTGAGCAGATTAGTGCCTCTCTTCTTTTAAGGCATTTTATTAAAGTGGACCTAACTGATGCCTCGTAAATCAGCTCATTTAACCTGCCAGTCT